TTCCTTTGGTGATTGATGTCACTTCTGTTGAGAACTGAAACTAAGCTGAATGTTGGAGATTTGGAGTGGAATTAGGAGTACTGAGATTTTGTTTGCTATATTGCTATTGATCTGTAGGATAACTTTTACGCCGACCATCCAGCACTGCAGCATGGCGACAGTGATTGGTTTGTGCTTAAGAGAGAAATTGAAGGATTTTTTTCCTCCACATTTTAAGGTTAGACGTCATTGTAGCCGCAAATTAGTTACGTTTTAAGTTCGTTGATTGTTGCACTTACTCTTTCAAGTTTATGGACAATGTCGTCATTTAATACTCATTATTATGTCCAAGTCTGTTGCTTCATCGATTTGAAAATACATTTATTTTGATTCTTTCTATGCTAGTTTTTCTTATGAATTTCGACCGATGTGGCGAAGAACTTTTTTAAGCAGACATGATATAATTGCAAATATAGCACGAATGGTGTTTTATCTATAATTCCAGTTGTGTAAAACAGTCACTTGGTTTCATTTTCTTTGATCCTTATTTCTCCACCTAGAGGAATCTGCAGTTCTTGTTCCTGTGAAAGGATCCAAAAACACATCATTTTTTCTCAAAGGAGTTCTAGAAGGATACCGATGAATGTAAATCATAAGCATGGAAGCTGATGAGCCTAAAACGNAATATAAAAAAAAAAAAGAAGAAAGAGAAAAAGGAAGAAAAATTATGGTACATCTTTACTGTGGTAGAGCTACATCGTGAGCAGATGTTTGAACTTTAGGTTCAATTTGATGACTGCCTCTATTGCCTTGAAGACTGTATAAATATTAATGCCCTGCTGTTTGTTCATCTTCTATGTACCAGTTTTGTCGAGTTTGCAACGAGTTTCTTGGTTGCATCTAGAAAATGTTTTTTCAGATTGGGTATGACATTATCATTTTACTAATTCATTTACTTGAATGTGAATTCAATTTTACAGGTAGACATAAAAGTTGCCCCTGGATCACATGCAAATGAGGAATCAGGTGAAGGTTTTTTGATGATTAATCCGATACTAATGATGCTCATCCTATTTCTTTTTCATGAATCTTGTGATTTCAGTTAAATTTTCGTAAGGATCTCTATCCTTCTTGATATGCATATTTATTTATTAAAATGCTTATAACTGTGTATGTATATGCATATATCCTCAGCTGTATACTAGTTTTACTTGTTTATTCTTTTGTGTGTAGCTTAAGCATAATTAAGTATAGTCAGAAGAAACTCTGACGAAACTCTCTGACTGTTACAACAGTCTGTAGTTAAGCTTAACCTCCCATCTCTATCGATATTTGAAACATTTTTGTGGAGGAAAAAATAGTACACGAGTCAATCGTAGTCAGGCATTTGCGGGAATATGAAGTAGAGCATCTTGACTAGCTTAGTTTTAGGGGATAAAAGGGAACTTTGTTTTCAGTCTTTTCTTTTCTTTTTCTTTCAAGTTAGTATAGCCAAGCTTTTCCAATATTTTGGTGATGTAGCTTAATGATATTTTTTTAATGAAAAAAAGAAAAGAATGGTTAAGGATGTGCTTGGATATAGGTTGGGTTGAGTTTTGATTGTTATTTTTTTTTTCTCTTTGTTAACCAGTGTTAATTTTGAAAAAGTTGGTTGTGTTAGGTTTGAGTGGAATTGGGTTTGTATTAAAATAATATTTGAAATAAAATGATTAAAGTTGATTTTATGGAAAAGTAGGAGAGAAGTGATTGAAACTGATGGGTAGTTATAAAATTATGTGAGTTGATGAATAATGAATTGAAGTTGGTAGTTGTTATTTAATAATATTGATAAAATCGAGGAGGGTTGAAGTTGAGTTAAATTTGAGTTGTGATGGAAAAATTTAGTCACAATTTTTATCCAAGCACTACCTAAGCCTTCAATGTTGATGAGTTGTCGTTTTACAACTTTTACAATGGATCATTTATGAACTTTTGCCATCACTCTTTTGGGCAGTTAATAAGCAGCTAAATGATAAAGAAAGAGTGGCTGCAGCATTGGAGAATCCCAACCTGCGCCAACTTGTAGACGAATGCCTTTACTCTAGCGAGCTTTGAGAATTGACGAGCTGCCAAAATAACTTGTATAGTTGCAGTTTTGTTCTTATCTCAGCAACTTGATCTTTTTGTTGTATGTATGTTGTATGTTGTGAAATTATTGCTTAGTGTGTTACCATGGATTTTCCCAATCGATAATGAGACTGTTCTCTTTTGAAGAACACCATGAATGACAATTAGGACATTTTTAACTCCTTTGAAGATCCTGCCTATCTTCAATCCTATATCCGCATAGAGCCAGTTAAGGGGTACATTGTCCGCTTAGACCCACTCAAACCATCCCTCCAACAACAACAACAACATATCCAGTATATTCCCAACAGGTTGGGGTCTGGGGGGTTAGTTGTACGCAGACCTTACCCTTGTAATTATACAAGGAGGCTGTTTTCGTAGCGACCCAAGGTGCATTGCGCCGTTTGATATATTTTTTTTTCTAGAAACTTCACTAATAGAAGAAGCACTAGAATTTAATTGAGTCATTTTGATCTAGTCCATTATTAGCACTATGTCAGGAGAATTGTCAACAATGACTCTTCCAGCTCCATTTGCAATGGACAAAACTCAAACCATCCCTCCATTCTCGAAAAATGAGATATTGGTTTTCAAATATCCAATTTGTACCCAGCTACTTTATTCGAATCTTCTAAATTGTTGAGAAAAAATTCAAAGAAGTTTATCCCCAACTTTCGTACCTCAATCATATGCTGAATTTTCAGATGTGTCCCATTGTCTTCTTGATTCCTACTAAGCTAGCCCTTCTATCTAGGGTTGGTATCGGTTCGGTAATCGAACTGATAAGCTCAAACTGATACCGAACCGACATTTTCGGTAACAATAAAATGTGAAACTGAAACCGAACCGACTTGTAGTTGGTAACCAAGTTTTCGGTTACCGAAAATTCGGTTTGCTTTCAGCATACGGAAAAAATCGAAAAATCAGCCCCAAGTAAGTACAAATGTCTGATGCCCTATTCCCTCTGTTCCATGTTCCATGTTCCATGTATGTCCACAACATGCAAATAAGCAGCCCCATGGCACAGCAAGTTGCACTTCCAGTTAAGATATTTGAGTATTGAGTAGGAAATTTGGGTGGAAATTTTGAACTTATTTTTTCACTTATTTTTTTAAAAAAAAAAAAAATTGAGCCCTAACTATTCTTTAAAAACTTGTCCCTAATTATTATTTAAAAAGTGAGCCCTAATTTTTAGATAATTATAAAAACTAAGCCTTTATATTGTTATATACTTATATTAATATTTTGTTTTACTATTTTCCATGTATGAACGATGTGGGACAACTCACAAGTGATATTCTAACACGCCCCCTCACTTGTGAGTATATAGCAGTTCGGTAACCGATTCGATACGGTTTGGTTCGTTTTTCAGTTTTCAATTTTCAGTAAATTACCAGCCTACTTCTATCCCAATTATTTTGTCGAATAGACTCCTATGGCATTTTCCTCACTTGTTTTGATATCATCTGAACCAATGTCAATGATTGAGTTTTCTACTTCAGATAAGGAGAAAGCCTGGCAGCCTTTGCTCCACCTCCTCTTCCACACCCCCTAAACTAGACTCCTCCCTGGTTTTATCTGCCATCTACCAACTGTAGAAACCTCCTTGAAAGAGAGAACAGACACATGTAAAGGTACCACCTTCACTTCAAAATTCTCCCCTATTATAGAATAAAAGGGCTCTCAGACTAGAGAATTAGGGCTCTCGGACGAGAGAATCTCTGCGGTTCTTTGAGGTTGTAATTCTAAACTAAAAGAGAATCAATATTGGATGTTTAGACTTTAGCCAACGGTTAGACTCCTTGATTGCTATTTCATATCTGTTATATTTAATTATTGGTATTGACAATTAGACTGAACTAATAATATTTAACTCTTTTGTTTTACCACCAGACAGAGGTTCCTAAGTTGACAACTTCCCACAATATATCTACAACAAGAAAATGGAAAATAATATTTTTAATATCTGAGAATTTATTCAATATATTCCCAATTGGGCTGTAGGTGGCTTCCGCAATTTTAAAACTTAAGTAGATGAAATTTTTATTTGATAATCATCCTAAGACAAGAATCCAAAATACCATTTTGTTCACTCCAAGTGTTATCCACCTTAAGTTTTCCCAACTTGTACACTCTCAACCTTTGATTCTGAATAGTCCTTACTGTCACACTCATTGTTTTGATCCAAACCCCAAAACTTGGCAGTTTTGACGTCATCCTCTGCCATCAGTCTCGAAAACTCTTCATGATCGTATTTCAGTGTACCTTTCCCTCCAAACTCGCTTGGGAGATTCTCGGTGTTGAAAAAGCTCTTCATCACCTCCAAACTCTCCTTGTTATTCGGGTATACGAACTTTATTTTCTGAAAGGTTTTCTGATCCACAAAGTATTTTACTACCTGCATTCATTCCAAAACGAGCTTAATGGGAATAGAAAGCATAATTGATTTTGAAAGGTAAACATAACCACAAAAAAAGTGGCATTTTCCAAATTTCCCATCAAAATTTTTGAGTCAAGAGTTACAAACCGAAAACACAATCATTTTCTTCAAAGGCATGAAAGGATCTAAATTAAAAGGCAAAACTAGAGAAAACAGAGAATGACATTCATCGGACGAAGCACAAGACAGGCAAAAGCAAATACCTTCCAAAATGCCTCGAATATTCTTGGCGGGCTGTAGAGTACAACCACAGCAAGCCTCTCAGGATAATGATTCTGTAAAATGTGAATGATATCTCTGGCTGTTTTAATCGGGACATTGGTATTTAAAGACCAGCCATTGAAGTCTATTAGCCATGACATTTGCTCTTGTCCCTCAGGGAGGTTCAGTATAGCGTTCTCCAATAGATAAACAAGGTGACGGATATTACCCTCAGCTGATGAGGTGTTCTGCACTAGAAATTGGTTAAGTTATACGATGACGATGAGAAGGTAAAATCTATCTTTATAAGATTAAATAAATAAGACAAACCTGCAGTCCAGGCCTCATTATAAGGACAGTCCTATTTTTCCGGTCATGAAAGTTAGCTTTAGAAACTTTACCAGTTTCGCCTTCATGTGCTACTTCATGCTGATATAAGATTTTTCAAGAAAATACAAAATAGTAAACGTTAACCTTATTTTTTTTATATATAATTAATATATAAAGTTAGATAAACCAAGAGCAAGCGCAGATCTGATTCTGCATGATAGCGGTAAATAAGGAACACGATATTCAAGTAATCTTATGTTTCTGCACTTTTAGACTCACCCAACGTATTTCTTCAGGTTTGTAAGCTAATCTCCATCTAATAGTCTCCTCCAACATTTTTTGGGCTTTCTCAAGGTTCCAGTTTCTAGCTTCTAAATACCGCTTTAGGCATGCATCGGAGCAGAATTTTGATGTTCGAAAAGATAGTGGTCCAAGAGCATCTCGTAGTTGTTTAACCTGTGCAAGAATATAAATCACATAGTTTCTATGTTCAATACTTGTAAAAAAAAATGGACAAAAATTTAGTTCCTTCTGTACAACACTGAGAGCATGTTTGTTTATAAGAAATTTTCAAAAAATTTCCAACATTTTAACTCAACTATTTTTTTTCTAACTCAACTCTACTATCATCAATATTATCAATATAATTATATCAATCAATCAATCATTCATACACACCATATCAACCTTAATTCACTATTCATCTACTCACATTATTTTTAACTAACAATCACTTCAAATCATCTCTCTCCTACTTTTACATCAAATCAATTTTAATTATTTTTATTTTAAATATTATTTTAATATACCAACTAACAACTAACCATACCACCTTTTTTAAATTAACCAAACCAAATCAAAAAATCCACACAAAACCAAAAATTTCTATAAACAAACATGCTCTGAGTGTTTCATCACAAACTCGAATTAACTGTTTGCATCTCATGAGTACAAAAACGATATCATCACACACATGCGTCATGCATGGATGCCGTTACAATAGAAAACACAACACAATCTTATAAAAGATTTCAATTGAGTTCTAAACTGTTTCAGCTAAACCGGTTTTCAAGATGACGTGATCACCTTTACAGAATCACAATCTTGTAGTTACCTTGGCATCTCTTTCAGCAGCATTAATCTCTTGGTGGCTATGTGACTTTCTTCTAAACATGGTCACTGCCAAATCCACAAAATATAGGCAGCATTAGGTTATTTGCTAAGAAGGGGTCTCGAAAGAGAATCGGGTGTAAAATTAGTAAAACATTGATGTGAAACTGCCCACCACAGAAGTTAAAGCAGAGAGATTTTAGAACTTCATGCATAGTCAGCAGATAAATTCTCAACTATTTCATGCTCTTGACTTTTCAATCTAAATCATAAAAAACACATATACTGATAATAAAAACATGAATCAATTTTCATCACTGCTCTTTCACTTTCAGAAATTGTATTTGTTAAAAATCAATCACAATCATTACAGTTTTATCTCGAATCCTACAACGTGTTCCAATTTCATTTTCCTGAAACAAATTCTTAGTACATATCCCAGGCAAAGATAGTAGTAAATAAATTCAGACCGGAAAACGTGAAGCACTTTAATTTTACTGTTACATAAACATACTAAACAGCTAATTTACATAAACATACCCAAAATCGAGCATACATGAAACAACAGACACAGCCGTAAAAAGAAAAACACGAACCCACAAGAAAGTAAAACTAGAAACGAATGATGGGCCATAAACAGTCCTAAACCAGAAATTAGCAAAATCCTTATAATAACCTTTTTTAAGTCTTGTACAATAACCTTCGAACCTGAGAAATGCAGATCTTTTCCAAGTCTTCCCTTGGAAATGAAAGACGAAAAGCTGCGGATAAGGAAAAGGTTTGTTTTAGGGGGATTTTAAGCACCTGCGGGTTTTGGTAGAGCTTCCTTTAGTTGACGTTTGCAATGCAGCAGGATTAACAATTAAGTAGGTGTGCCCAACAGCGTGACTTTTTCTTTTTCTTTAAGCACTTGTGCGCGCTTATTTGACTTTTTATTTTAACGAACAGCATGAGCAAAACGTGAAAGGTCTAATCAATTAAGATTGTGATTTTTTTAATACTATATTTTCTAAATATTATATTATTTTATTGACTTTTTTTCAAATATTAAGGGTGTATCGTTTTGGGTTTTTTAGTGATATTTTGAGACTTTTTGAAATTTGAGGTTTTTCAAAATTTCAGATCTAAGAGGAATAGTATGAAATTTTAAATTTGGAGGTTAGGAGCGAATTTTTTATATGGTTCTCTACAGATCTTAAAAAGTTACGACAAATTTAAGTCTCAAATAATTTAAATACCTCAAATTTAAGACTTTTGAAAATCTCAAATTCGAGACTTTAAAAATTTTTAAAAATTGTAAAAAGTTTAAGTTAAATGCACGAAAATTTCTAAGATCTTTAATATTACTAGTGTGTACCCCGTGCGATGCACGGGAACAATATTATAAATAGAGCTCGAGTTTGAGTCACTCAATGGTGGAAGTGGAAACTACTATTAATCCTATTTAAAAATAGAAAGAAAAAAAATAATTATAAATTAAAGAAGAGGATAAACAATACTTAATAATTATAAATTAAAGATTTGGGGTCAGACAATGCAAAATTATTTTGTATAAGAGAATATTAAAAATTTGATTACACAACATTTCAAAATTATTATTATACTTTTTTGTATGGTTAGCTTATAATATTTGTAAAAATATTAGTAATTAGACCGATGAAAATTAGTTTCTTAAAGTAGATAATGGATTTCTAGTAGTAATTATGAATTGGTTTCTATTTTATTTTATTTTTTCTTTTTAAAAATAATAGATTTCTAGTAGTAATTATGAATTGATTTTTATTTTATTTTATTTTTTCAAATCTGTATCGATAAGAGATGAGATTTTGTAAACACGAGAAGTATGCAATGAGATGAGATTTTGTAACAGAGGAGATAAGCTCGTGTAGATTTATACTAAAAAATAGGAAAAAGAAAAACAAATAAACAGCTCGTGTAGATTTATACTAAAAAATAGGATAACGAAAAACAAATATTTATTGTTATATTTATTGTCAAACAACGGTTTTGATAAACTAAAAAACAGGAAAAACAGAAACAAATCTTTACACAATTAATGAGCCGATTTTTTTTGCTTATTTAGATTTGTCCAACAATTACTATATGTATGATATATTTAATGACTTTGGCGGGAAAATGTTTCTAAATTTGTAAAAAGGTTATTCTTTTTATATAATGATAGATTTAGAAATTTCAAATGAAAACACCCCTAAATGTGGATGACGGATTTAATGATGGAATTTACGTACTTTGTCTGTGACATCTTATTAAATTTTCAAGAGTCCAAACATTAATACGCAAGAACTTCAAAAGATTTAAAATGTCCAAACCTTAGAATTTTTTAAACCTAATAATATTATAAGTTATACAGATAATATATTTATAATTATAAGTTATATGATACACATATTACATTTTAGAAAAGTATTTTAGTGATATAGAAATCACAATATAAATTGTACGAATAATGTAATTTTTACAAATTTTAGAGATCGAGACCAATTAATTAGTTAAAAAATATATTCAATAACTACTATTATAGCAACTTCTTATAAAATTTTAAGGGTTTTACTATGTTATTAAAATCAATTAATTTTTTAAAAAATAAATTAATAAGATATTGATAAAAAGATAATATTAATCTTAAAATAAGTCTTGAAGAAATAATCTTGCTATAGAATTTCTTTTAAGTATATACCTTTCACAAACCTTTTAGGATGAATTATAATTATTTAATGTTAATATTAATTCTTATATTATAGAATAGTTAGCAAATATTAGTATACTTATTTAAGACAAAAATTAACGGACAATTTCCCCAATTAAATGAAATAAAATAAGCAAAAAAATTGTAATTTTTTTTTTTCGAAACGATGGAGATTTTTATAAAACAAAACCACACAAAATGAGCATAAAATTGCATTAGTTGAATAACCTACTTTTATATATATAATTAAATAAATACACAAGAACTTTTAAAATCTAAAAGCATATATATTATAATACATGTCGAGGCAGACTTTTATATTTATTTATTCATTTATTATTTGCTTGTTTGTTTTGGTTGGTTGATTTTTTAGCAAAAGATGATTAGTTAGGATTGGGATTTTTCTATTTAAGAAAAAATAAGGATAAAATTAGTACATGACCCGTGTGCTGCATGGAGAATTAAAATTAAAATTCTATTACAAATCATATAAATAACACGAATCACATTATTGATCATATACACGAATCACAATTTACAATAAGTTATATTTTTGTTCATATATATAATAAAGAAATGATATATAAATCATGTATTATTGATCATCTTCTCATAAAGTACTATTGATTTTATTATTTGAACTACAATATATTTATGATGATTCATAATATTCATATCTAGTTCAATACTCGATTGGTTTGGCCAAGTTGATGGTCTCCGCCAATGCAAATCTATGTCTCATACATGTGTTTATTGTTTTACAGATGACTTAGAGAGTCACCCAATAATATTGATCTAGTTCAATTGACATGTTAAGTAAAGACGTTTCATTTCCTTCTTTTTTTTTTCTTTTTTCTTTTTTTTTTTACGAAATGATAGAGATACTATTAAAACTCATAACGAACAATGTTCGAATCATACAGGCCATACCCGAAAAATAAAATTGAGAGGACTCTCTTAAAGCGGCCTAAAACCTCAACACCCAAACAAAAAAAAAAGAACACCAACATATAACCACACGCCACTGCCCGTAGGCCTAGAGGTGAAAACAGAAAGCCAAGCCTGAAGTCTAACAACAATAACAAGAAGCAAACTACAACTACCAAAAGGAGCTAAAAAGAAATGAAATAACATTACACTAGTTGAGCAAGCCAATCTTGTTGAGCAGCTTTGACTACTATATGGGCTGGAAGGAGAGCATCTTGAAAAAGGCTAAGATTGAATACAACATGTTCGAATCATTTCTCTTCTTACATATCATGTTTAATATATTGATATAAAAATATTATTTATTCCATATTGTAAATTTTTAAACAAAAGACAATATGTTAAAGATTTTAAACTATAAAACTTAACACAAACTAATTATGTTTTCCTATTAAATATATTTACAGTATAGTATATTTGAGTTAGTTAGTCTTAACTAATAAATTATACTAGTGTACTTTGTGTTTATATAACTCGACCACAAGAGGATAAGTTTATTTTATACTAAGCTAGTATATAAGCTAGACCTCATGATATCACTCTATCTAGATGGTGTATTGTTGATTACATTTGGCCACTGTGTCCAGGTGCGTCCAGGTGATAACGTCCCCGAAATGAGCTAAAAAAAAATTATTACTGAACCATGCTGGTAGATTAAATTCCGGTTAATAATATAGTTGAGTGGTACTATTTTTGAAAAATCATGATGTTAATTAACAGTCTTATGGTATCTTAAACACGAAAACGTAAATCGAATATATTGGAGCCAAGTTGTAACTTGGGGGTTAAATAGGAAGTTAGTAATATTTCTTTAGTTGAATGGAATATTATTCATATGTATTAGGTGTAGCTGGACCATAACCTAAGACACCTAATCTTATGGGGAGTCCTAATTTAACAACTTCTTAAGGTCCATGGTGTAACCTATAAATATACCACGCACTCTCATTAGAGCATCCACAATACTTTAGGTTCAATAAAAAAGTTTATATGCCACTTAGGAAATAGACTCAGTCTTAAAAAATATATTCTCCAATGCAAGTGCAAGTAGACTGGGTCCTGCTGAAGTGGCAGCAAGAAAAAGAGACCCGGTCTACGCTTAAATCTATTTTAGACTCAAGTAGAGACCTAGTCTCTTTGCATTGGAATGAATTTTGTAAATTTTATATAGTTTTATCTCATGCCATCCAGGACTTGGGTTTATTTACTTGCCATGTAGGCAAAACTAGACCAATGCATTGTACATGCTCTTAATTTACAAGTTTTCTCTTAAAAAAATCAAACACATGAGGCATAGGAGAGATAAAATTTAAGAGGTTTATGAAAGAGAGAAAACGACTTGTTTTCTTAAATTCTATTGGAAAAAAAAAATGTCTTATTCCTTATTCCCGAAAAACCAATCGACGTGAGATATGAGAGCAAGTTCTATAGATCGTCGCTCACAAAGAAGTTTGGAGCTGGTGCCGGGATATATAGCAGACAATTATGAGGTCACGTGGCTACATGTAGTCTGGTCTCGTAGACCGTGTAAGTCGTCTCAGAGTCGCTAATAATTAACGGTGCGATTAGTTCCACTCTTAGATCTGTTGCACAAATTATGCAAATTCAAACATATCATAGATGTTCTTAACCGAATCCAACAATCGGTATCAGAACCCAAGGTTAATGTCCGAATTATTTTATGATCGTGCTTTTTTTTTTTGGCATATTTATTCAGGCGCAGATTAGTAAATCTACATTAACTCAGTTTTATATCTTAGATCCAACTATTATTGTCCGAATGTATGATTTTTCTATGCACGTTTTTGAAACTTCAGACATGTCGAGGATTTTGGGTTGGTGCATAATTGTAATAGTTTAAAAGTACGGTTGGAAGTCATCTTAGGAAAATTCACTGAGTACATGTGACTCTTTGCGGGAATTATGATCTACTGTAAATTTTGTATTTCTTATTTCAGCAAACGACGAACAAATTCGATGAATGAAGAAGGTCGAGACAAAAAACTCGCGTTGAATGATGGACGGATTGCGAAGATCATGAGTTGGAGGTTGATCGCGCGCGACTAGCGGATGCATTTGTTGCCAGTTTGCTGGTTGCGCGTGGTGGCCTGCGTGCACGATAGAGAGTCCCTGTTGACATGGGAGTGCAAACGTCGAGCGGAATCCTCGGATGTCGACAAGTCTATGACAATCGACGAGCAGCATGC